TGTTGGGGGCGATATGCTGACTCTGTAAACCGCTTAGAGAGGGCTGAAAGCCCTATGAAGCGGTATATAAGTCTAACTGCTATTGCTATTATTGCTAAGAATGTTACAAAGATATACCTAAAAATCTGGCTCAGTTCAAGAGCTACATTGACCTTCCCTGAAGGATCATAAGTTAACGGCTCCCGCCAGAAATGAGCAAGGCTGAAATGAAAAATTGATCTGGCCATCCCACACTGTTGTGTTGTTTTGTTTTTGCTTTCACACACAAATATTGCCCCTAGCTATTCACACAAATGTGTAGACATTAATACATATTTCTGTGATTTATATTGGGGAAATATTTGTTCATTCCAATCAAGGGTTTTTTTCTTTCAATGCATGCTGTAGGCAATGCACTCCTTTCCACTGTGGTGTAGAGTAGCCCTTAGACTTTTAATTTCATGTACCAATATTTAATAACTTTCTATTTACTCTCCTTGCCTTCCTGTTGAAAGATTCTAAGAATCTTGAAGTAATTTTGATGGGGTCTTTACATGTTTCTTTCCCAAACTCTTAGATGTCAAACTTGGTTCAGGTCACCCAGCAATCTTCATGTGAACTGAAATAGCAATGGCAATTAGACTTATATACCGCTTCACAGTACTTTACAGCCCTCTCTAAGCAGTTTACAGAGTCAGCATAACTGCCCCCAACAATCTGGGTCCTCATTTTACCCACCTCGGAAGGATGGAAAGCTGAGCGAGCCTTGAGCCTGGTGAGATTCAAACTGCCAAATTGCAGGCAGCTGGCAGCCAGCAGAAGTAGCCTGCAATACTGCACATTCTAACCACTGTGCCACCCCAGCTCAAATCCCAACTGTCCTGTTCTTCAGCCAATCCTGAGTTGCACTGTCTGTACTATTACCGTTTTTCTGATGTTCAATAATGAAAAGCGTGTATCTGTTTCCCATAAAACATTTCAAAGCTGTTATAGACTGTTTTTAACAATCTCACTCCAGGCTGTGCATCAATCAAGATTAAAAGCTCCTGTCTTTTCCTGGAAAGTCCCACATTCAGTTTAATCAGATGCTATTATTTGGACTCTCTCTTTACTCTGAATCATATTGGTTGAAAATGCAAATGCAAAAATATAAAATGGTTAAGAAAAAATAAAACAATAAAATTGAATGAAAGCTGCTTTTACCAATTGCACAGCTTAATAGCCAGGGATGTGTGGATTCTGAAGTTATAAAAGCAGTGTAAGTTCTCTACCTAGCAAACGCTTAATCATCTCATCAGCATCCCTCTTTGTCAAGCTACAAGATTAAGCTATTGTTTGGAATGACAAGAAGCTGTCATGGGGACGAGTTGAGCTTGCTTTGTGCCCGTGCCTTCTGCCGAAAACATTCTTCATTCATGTAAGAGTTACAGTATTGGATTCCTGCAGGGATAGGAAATCATTTTGAATTAGTGGGTGCAGTCGAAATGCTGACAGCATGATGGGGAAATGATTGCCATGGCTTGCTTATTCACAAAATGGTGCTACATTGAAGTTGGGTGAGTTATAAAACGTTCTGTGAAGAGAAAGTAGGGAGGGGGCTATCTGACTCTACAGAATGATCTTTAGCACCCCATCTTGCTTTTATCTTTTATTGGAAATGGTAGGCATATTTTCAGACACAGCACTAGGTATGGTGACACGTAATTTTGCTGACCTTTGGATTACTGACTCATTAAAGCAGAGTTTACTTTTTTAGTCACACCTCAGCCGGAAAAGAGATGGGGGTGTTTGAAGAAAATAGCTGAGAGGAGCAGTGCTCATGTGAGATCCAGATCACTTCTGAAATTTTCAAAGGCTCTATAGCAGGGGTGTCAAACTCAAGCTCCACAGGCCAGATCCGGCCATGGAGTGGTTCGATCTGGCCCGCAGGGCTGACCTGGAAACAGCAAAGGACTGGCCCACAGTGCCTCTGCCAGCGAAAATGGAGCTTGTAAGCCTGTTTTATCTGGCAGAGCGCTTGGGCCACCACAGGCACCTCCGACACAAGTGACGTCAAGCAATGGCCCATCCTGGGGGGGGGGGGTCCAAGCTCAAACACATCCCTGATGCAACCCCCAATGAAATTGAATTTGACATCCCTACTCTATAGCCTTCTACTGTTACCATGTTTTTCCAGATTTTCCAGCCTCAGGGTCTTAAAAAATGTCTATGGCCCTGCTGATCAGATGCGGTATTTTAATCCTGTATCTGACAAAATGGGATGCAAGTACAATGAAGTTTATTCTTCAATACCATTGTAGTGTTTTAAAGTACCACACGATTCCTAGACTATTGTTGAGGGAAGAGGGAATAGGTCCTTATCATCTTTCAGAGGATTGTTTATCAAATATGATATTATTTCGTTTGGCGAGCTGCCAAATAACTAGTTCCAAACACTGGGCAAGACCAAACTTGGTACAGAGTCTCTGATAGTTACAAACATAATTTTTCTCTCTTGACATGACCGAATGAACTTATTGTTTCCTGCAAAAGCCCACTCCCCATTTGTTCCTCTTTTGTTTCCTCTGGGAGGGGCCAATTACCTCTAAGGTGTGGCTTTACTCTAAAGTCTACCCTGATTTCTAAGTTGTTCTTTTCTTCTGGCAGCACTGCGCATGCGTACACTGGGAACAGGCTCCAGCTGTTCCTCTGCCTCACTGCTGTCTAGTTCCCTCTCTACCTCCAACACAGAGCTCTCATCTGAGCTTTCCTCAACCCCAGGACTGGCCCATGTTTCTCCCCAACCTCCTCACTGTCCGACTCTGCTGCCAGCTCCATTGGCTGCCAGCGGGCCACAACAACTTTCTTCTGCTCTGCCCATCTCAGAAAGCTCCTAATTTTTGTCAATATATTAATATATAGCTGTTAACATGTAGCTGAAGTGTTCATACGTGTCAGTTTGCTAATTGCCACTGCATATGGCTTCAAATCTCCATTCATCTCTAAATCCACAGATCACAGTTCCTGCCCTGATGGTTACTGCTGGAAAAGACAAGGTTCTTAGTCCAGAAATGAGCAAGCACATGGAGAACTGGGTGAGTAACAGATGTGTTACCCTTTCCATAATTAAACAAATACAATAGATCAGAGGGCAGGACAATGTCTATCTACACCAAATTATTCTATTTCATTGCATGGAATGTGGTTGAAGGAATTCTTGTTACTGGGGTTGCTACAGCAGTTCAAGGTCAAGCAATGATTTTTCTTTCTCTCTGCTTTGGGATTGACAGACTTGAAGATCATTCAGTGCTTTTAAAAATTTGCAGTGTGGAAGCCAGGGTGATATGAGAGTGCCTTTTACCTCCTGGTTTTTCTTCTCATAAAAGTCATCCCAACGTTTCATTTATTTTAATTTAATGTATTTTAATTTTGATCTTGTGTTTAAGAATCATCAACTAAATCAGTGTTTCTCAACCTTGTCAACTTGAAGATGTCTGGACTTCAACTCCCAGAATTCCCCAGCCAGTGAAAGCATTCGCTGGCTGGGGAATTCTGGGAGTTGAAGTCCAGACATCTTCAAGTTGATAAGGTTGAGAAACGCTGAACTAAATAGTGACTCCTTAGTTATTATACATAGACTTAGATTTCTTGAGACAAGGGGAAAGCTCGAGAATGCCACTGAATTGGGGTTATTTGTCATCTTATTTTAGATCTCATTGTACATGGGATGACATGGTTCCTGACTGACATATCTTCTCGTAGTCAAGGAACCTTTCCTGTTTCACAAAATAGCAAAATACTTTCAGTTGGCCATGACATGTACCTTTTTCTCCCCCTAGATTCCACAATTGACTCGTGGCCATATTGAAAACTGTGGACATTTCACACAAATGGAGAGGTAAGTAGTGTTGAGAGCTAAGTTGAAAGAGAGAGGGGGGGGAGAGGGAGAGGGAGGGAGGGAGAAAGAGATGCAAATAATTTATTTTAAAATGCATGCCTGTAAAAAGCACATTAGCTTATTGTTTTGCATAGGTTCTTGAGATTCGTTATTAAATAATCTTCATCAAGATTCCCATCAAATTCAAATTAAGTATTCCTGAGAAAATGTTTTGGCAGGGACAGGTTTCCCTAGCATGAACTAGTTTGATCTGCATCTTCAAAATTATACAATGATCATAACTTACGTTATTTCATGGTATTTTTGGTGTCAGGCAGAGGAAATCAAGAGCCAGGAAAAAAATTCAAAATCACTTGAAAGTGTATTTCATGCTATCTATTCTCAAGAATCTGATCTACTAAACATCAATGAAAATTGGCACCAGAAGTGTCAATGGACTTCAAAACATAGGTATCTTATGGGGGCATAATGACTCCAAACCGATTACCTCCCTCCGACCGATAAGATCGCACAGACTGGGCCTCCTCCGAATCCCATCTGCCAGTCAATGCCGACTG